AATTTTCCTACAATGAGTACACCGCGAGGAAACCAGAGTGTCCCACAACCAGGATGTGAGAATGACCAAATACCTGGAGTGTCCTAAAAAAAGACTTAGGGGATTGCTTAGTAACTTGTGACATAAAAATGAACAAACAAAAAACCCCCAAAGTGTAGCTAAGAGAGTATCCTCCAGTAATCCAAGGTCTAATTTTGACAGTTATCAAAATTAACAGCCACACTGACTTGACTATTGGCAAAGTTGACAATAATTTCATTTCCAAGCCCTCTGCTCTCTTAAACATGTGCTTGGCTGGGCGCAGTGGCTCATACCTGTAATTCCAACACTTTGTGAGGCCAAGGCAGGAGGATCAACTGAGGTCAGGAATTCGTAATCAGCCTGGCCAACCTGGTGAAACGCCATCTCTACTAAAAATACAAAAAATTAGCTGGGTGTGGTGGCACATGCCTATAGTCCCAGCTACTCAGGAGGCTGAGGCGGGAGGATTGCTTGAACCAGGGAGGCAGGGGCTGCAGTGAGCCAAGACCCCACCACCTCACTCCAGCCTAAAATAAAAATAATATCTGAACAGAGCCTGATGTGGAAGAAGCTCAGCTAGTGTTAGGTGTTATGACTATTACTAGTTACATTAATAAGCCAGACTATACTTTATGAGACATACTCTAGGCACCAGAGTTCTCTTTTGCCAAGCAAAGATTTGATAGTGAACAGTGTTAATTATACATTATATACAATATCAGGAGAAAAAAGAGTTGTAATTTTTGAGGAAAATTGCTTCAGCCTGTTGAGGCCTCCTTTGCTATACCAGTGGTTGACAAGACAGAATTAAGAACAGTTAAAACAGTCAAAAAGTTGATAAAATTAAATCATCAAAGGTAGAAAGTTTTTCCAACAGGAAAAAAGCCACTGAAATTAGCAATCTTGTGGAAAAGAACAGAAGAAAGAATAGGGCCAGGTATGGTGACTCACACGTGTAATTCTGGCACTTTGAAAAGCCCAGGTGGGAAGACGGTGTGAGGCCAGGAGTTCAAGACCAGCCTGGGCAAAATAATGAGGCCCTATCTCCAGAAAAGATAAATTAGCCAGGCATTTATTAGCTTGCCTGTAGTCCCAGCTACTTGGGAGGCTGAGATGGGGAGAACTGCTTGAGCACAGAAGTTCAAAGCTGCAGTGAGCCAAGATCATACCACTGCACTGCAGCCTTAGTGACACAGCAAACTCCATTTCAAAAAAATAAGTAAAAGAATACAGCTATAAAGATGATAGAGATTAATTTCTTTAAAAAAGAAAATAATGTAGCTGAATAGGGGTACTGTTTAGCCATCTGTAATGGCTTCTAAACAAATCTTTGTCAAGTGGTTCCTAAGCCAAGAGCTTCAACAATTCTGGTTCCTTGGCTTTGGCTCTGCAGAAGTGAGTGACCATCTGTTCCACCATGAAAATGCAAAAGCAAAATCTACATGCTAGAGAGTAATGTCAACCAGAACCTCTGGGGAAACAGTTTAATGGTCTTTTCCAATTAAGAATAGAATTTCTCTTCTTTCATAGCTAAAATTAGAATTTTTGCTTAATCCAAATAAAGATAAATTAATCAGGTTCCAAAGATAGGAGACCTTAACTATAACCCTAAATTTTTAGTTTCTCTTAGTTAAATGCAGTATTTAATGAACATGGGTGGTGAGCTTCGTTCTCATGACATATCAAGATGGCAAGAGGATCACAGCCTGAGAGAATAATTTCATAGGCTCTTTAAAGTAAGTATTAGGAATTGGTTAGCAAACCTTGACAAGGGCTAACAAAATTTGGAAAAACAGGAATGAAGAAAAAACAAATGTCAAAAGGTATTAGCATATTGTTTAGTTTTGTTTTCATGTCATTTTCCTGTTAATTATACCCAAAAGACATGATTAAAACATACACCTGTTTCCTAAGATTCATACAGGATCAGGTTTCCTTTAATTAAGTCCATGTGGATGGTTAGTCAGAATCCATCTGCAATGAATGCTTGTGTCAGTGCTAAGGAAAGGTCTCCACATTTCTCAGCAATGGTGTCTTTTCTTCCTCATTTTGTAGGTTAAGAAGCCAACAATTGGCCGGGCGTGGTGGCTCACGCCTGTAATCGCAGCACTTTGGGAGGCCGAGGTGGGCAGATCACGAGGTCAGGAGATGGAGACCATCCTGGTTAACACGGTGAAACCCCGTCTCTACTAAAAATACAAAAATTAGCCAGGCGTGGTAGCAGGCGCCTGTAGTCCCAGCTACTCGGAGGCTGAGGCAGGAGAATAGCATGAACCCGGGAGGCGGAGCTTGCAGTGAGCCGAGATCCGCGACACTGAACTACCAGCCTGGCGACACAGCCAGACTACAGTCTCCAAAAACAAAAAAAAAAAAGAATCATTACTGCTAGAGAGCACAAGAGAAATTACTACAACTTACTTCTAAATTTGATGTCTAGGCGTTTATCTGTTATCTTCTGCAGTACTGTTAATTTTTTCTAGTCAAGGCTTATCTGAACATTGAACATTTATTGAACACATGAAAGATTGTATCTCTATGATCTTTGAAAGCAGTCTTAATAAACACAAATGATTTTTTAAACCTTTGATTCATTAAGTAATTAGCATTCCACATGTATGCTGCCCAAACATCATTTACCCCTCTCTAAGAATCTCCAAAGCACATGACCTGGAGCTTGTATTAAAAAGGAAATGATGGTCGTCTCATTTCAAGGAGTCGCAAAAGACTTCGAGAGAGCGTGAGGGTGACACTTAACGTTATCTACCTTCTGAAACATACAATACTCAAATCCTCTCTCCCGCTTCGCCCCCAGCTCTTCTCTTTCATAGCGCGCTCTTAAATTCAATTTTCCTCTCCTCTCCCCGGCCTCCGCACGCTTGCCTTCCTGCCCTTCTGTCCACTCGACTCGCGGCACCTCTTTGCTCATTCTCGTTCATTCCACTCCTCACAAGTCCCTCCCAGCTCCCCCCACTCTTCGGCACGCCACGCCTCACCAGTGAGCACACATCGATAAAAGCACACAACCAAACATCTTTTACCTCTAGGCGTACCTCCCGAGGGCCCGCCGCTGCTTACTTCACCCGCTTCGCCCCTCGCTCCAGTGCGGGCGCGCACCTCATCCCCCCACCGCCTTGCGCTCTCCTCTCCCGCTCGTCCTCTTCCTCCTTCACCTCTCTCACAAAATAAGAAAAAAAGTTAGGTAGTTGGGCTTCAATTTACTTTTCTTTCCTTTGTTTTCTTTTTAATTCCAAAAGGAAGCCACTTGCCTTGATATCAAAGAGTGCTGGCGTGGAAAGAACAGGAGGAGAGAAAAAAACCCACAAACTAAATGTGAGAACTATTTTTACCCAGCTTATACTTTTATCAGCACTTAACATTTCTACCTTAGCAATGATAAGAAATACTATACCCAACACTTCTCTTATAAACAAAGCGCCAACACAGAAGTCGACAACTCATAGCTCCCCAATATTAAAAAATATATATTTCGTCATAGATTCCAATTCATGGCTGGGAGGGGCAGTGGCCTCACGGCATCTGTCATCCCCCCACGGAATTCCGTGGGAGCTGAGGTGGGAGACAGACATTCCATGAGGCGCTTGCAGGTGACCTCGAGACCCATCATGGCTAACATGGTAACACCCCCTCCTGCTACACCCAACAAGATACACAACACATTCTACGCTGGGCGTCGGGCTGGCCACGCCCCCCTGAGCTCCCAAATTCTGGGGCGCGCGGGCTGAGGGCCGGCACAGAAGTTGCGCTTCGCAATCCTGGCGAGGCGGCGCGTTGGCAGTAGAGCCAAAACACTCATCCTTCCGCGGGTGACAGCGAGAGAGACAGCTCCTGTCCTCAAAAAAAAAAAAAAGATTTGTTTTTGGTTCTTCGGGTACCACAGGTGACCACCCAAGCGAAATCAACAAATCACACATATTTCTATACTCTCCCTTTCAGCATCAATAAACCAAGGGGGCGATTAGGCGGGCATGGTGGCGTCACGTCCCTGTAAATGCCCCAGCAAGCTGTTCGGGAGGCTGGATCCACCCTGAGGGTCCGGAGTATCGACCTGAACCCCAGCCCTGCCCAACAGAACCACGGATAGAACACGACCATAATTCTACTAAAATAGCACACACATAGAATCTGCCACGCGCCGTGGTGGTGCACACCTGTAATCCAGCTACTTCGGGCAGACGAAACTGAAGGCAGCGAGAAATGCTCGAACGCGCCAGAGACGGCGGAGGTTGGCAGTGAGCAAGACTCGTGCCACTGCACTCCGAGGGCACCCGTGCAGCAACACTCTGCCTCAAATCAACGAATAACAACCAGCAACAAACAACCAACAAAACAAGTGATATACGCAGAACTTGTTGCTTGCTGTCAAGGGACATGCAGAACAAAAAAAGCTACTTTGGGCGGCAGTGAAGAACTACATGGAAATTCGATCACTATGAAAACTAACCCAACAGAACGCCATCATATCTTCAAAAATCCTAATGAGATCACCACTGTCTTCTGCGGCTTCACTCCCAACAGCTGCTCTGTGCGTTTACCTCAGTTCGGCAGAGAAACAGGTTAGTGGAGTGCTTTTATAAATACCGATTAACTGTATTCAGCCAGCTATCACCTCCGAATTTCGGCGCACGCCGAGGCTTTTCCATTCAGTCAGTGCTCCACATATTTCCCACTGCCATCCTCTCTTTCACTCTCCAAGGCACCTGCTGACATACCATCGTCCTTCTGGATCTTTCTAGGCAAATCATAAACTCCCGTTGCAACCTGTTCAGATAGCACACTTCGGAACGCGAAACAAAAAAAGGCAAAAGCTGACGCATACACACGCCAACAGGGGTGGGGGAGGGGGCGGCAAAAAAGGACAAGTATAGATTACATAGTTGAGGAAAGTCCAGGATTATTGCAGAAATTAAAATGAACAAGGAAAAGGGCAGGCACCAAGAAAAGCACCTAAAGCTAGCAAATGCCTACACTGGTTTATTTATACTCCCTCCCCACAATGTTCATAGGGGAGGAAAATAATGTAATTTGAAAAGCATCAAAACTAAACAAATGCACACTGACCTTAGAAAATAAGATTTTGAATTTCATCATGATACCCTTTTTCCTATAAAATTTACTTTTTCACTCTGAAAGACTTCTTCATGGTGGATTTACCCTTGCCCGGCAATTTTACTTCCTTTCTTGCACTGGTTGTAGGCTTCTTTGAGGAGCCACCACTAGGTTTCTTGATGACTGTGGGTGAGGGTCTGGCTTTCTTGGCAGGAGTTTTGGCCTTAGGAGGGGCTTTCTTTGGGCAAGGGCCTAGCTTTACCCCACCTGGGCAGCTGAGGCTTTAGGTGTAGGTTTGGACCCTCTCTGCTTCACAGACGTGGCCTCCCTGGGGACTTGGCTGGGTTTTTCTTCTGCAACCTGTGAGAACCAAAGAGCAAAGACCATCACTTCTTAAGAGATTGTTTTCTTGGGACAACCAGACGCTTTCTAAAGAGAAATGGCAGGCCGGGCGCGGGTGCTCACGCCTGTAATCCCAGCACTCTGGCAGGCCAGAGCGGCAGATCACCGAAGGTCAGGAGAATGGAGACCATCCTGGCTAACACGGTGAAACCCCGTCTCTACTAAAAATACAAAACACTAGCTGGGCGAGGTGGCAGGCGGCTGTAGTCCAGCTACTCGGAGGCTGAGGAAGAGAGAATGGAGTAAACCGGAGGCCAGCTTGCAGTGAGCTGAGATCCGGCCACTGCACTCCAGCCTTGGGTGACAGAGCCGAGACTCTGTCTCCAAAAAAAAAAAAAAAAAAAGAGAGAAATGGCATATGAAGGTCACTTATGTTAGGAATAGGAACGTGACAATTTTTTTCTTTTTTTTTTTTTTTTTGTGAGATGGAGTCTCGCTCTGTCGCCCAGGCTGGATTGCAGTGGGCCAGATCTCAGCTCACTGCAAGCTCCGCCTCCCGGGTTCACGCCATTCTCCTGCCTCAGCCTCCCCAGTAGCTGGGACTACAGGCGCCCGCACCCTCGCCCGGCTAATTTTTGTATTTATTTTTTTAGTTAGGAGACGGGGTTTCACCATGTTAGCCAGGATGGTCTCGATCTCCCTGACCTCGTGATCCGCCCGTCTCTGGCCTCCCAAAGTGCTGGGTTTACAGGCTTGAGCCACCGCACCCGGCCAGGAATGTGACAATTTTTTTACTAGAGATTTTACTAAAATAAAATTCAACCAATTCAAGAAGTCTAGACATAATTTCATGACGTTTTTCCTAGGGAAATGTGGAATTATCTTTCTTTGAATAATTAAACTATGGATACACACAGGCTTGCCCTAAAAGTTTGGAGCCCTTGATTTTCAAGAGAGAAGATCAATCCAAATTATTATAAAGAACTTGAGAGGGATCCTGAGCTTCTGAAACACTTTCTAGCTTCAGCCCCTCCTATAGTACTATTTTTCAGCTCTGAGGTATTTAGTGTCCTCCTCACAAGGGCTTTTCACCTTCTCTTAGGTGGTGGCTCTTCATCCTCAGACTATTCTTCTGATGACTCATCTTCATCCTCATCCTCATCTCTAGAATCGTCTGGCTCTTTCTTCGGAAATAGAACTCCTGGGCTATGGGGGGAAAAATTAGATTAAAACACAAGTCCATATAAGACAAGAAAAATAATGTGAACCTAGATGCTCTTACCTGGACGTTTCCCACTTCTTCCCACCCTTCCCAAAAATGTCAAGTTAGGTTACATGTATCAGGTTACAACTTACCATATTTTGAACATACATATAAAGTTATGCCAAATCTATAAAAGTCCTGCACCATGCCTAATTCTATACCCACTATTTAATAAAATTAACCCATAATCATTTATTTAGTAAACAACTATTTAAACCCCTAATATGTGTCTGGCACTGTATTAGCCAATGAGTACACAGCAATGAACAGTCTGCATGGAATACACACTTCAGCCTCATAATAAATACTGGCAAAAGACCTCCAAGTCTTAACAGAAGACCTCAAAGGCCTAAATCTCTTCAAAGCTTTAGAGAAATTCAGCAAGGATCTCCTAAACTCTTTTTTGTCCTTGGTGGTATAAACCTTGATTCCTTTGATTAACATGTCCTTAAATGATAGCATATATACATACATATATGTGTGTGTGTTTCTTGTTTCTTTCAGACACAGGGTCTTGCTATGTTGCTCAGGCTGGAATCAAATTCCTAGGCTCAAGGGATCCTCCCACCTCACCTTCCCAAGTAGCTAGGACTACAAGTGCATCCCACCACACCTGGCAGAATATAACATTTTGTATGTGTGACTTTGGGAATTTAATTTAATGTTTGAAAAATTCATATAATATGTATTCAGCCAAGTAACTTATGTTTGTACAGAAAAATATAAGAAAGTTACACAATAGTCTTGCTAAAACAGGGTCTTAGTGGTATATGTTATATACTTTACTGGAAATCAAAAGGCTTTAACACCGGTGCATGAAACAATGCTTGGACCACAGGAGGTGCTCAATACATTTTTTTTGTTTCAAAGAATAAATAAGGTATTTGCAAGAGACAAATTTTCAAGTAAAAGTGTCCCTGTCTCTACAGTATCAAGGCAGAGTTAAGATTCTTGGAAACAGTCAATGTTCTCCCCACTTGGTATTGGACAATTAAAACTTATACATATAATCCCATCACTTTGGGAGGCTGAGGCGGGAGGACTGCTTGAGCCCAGGAGTTCAAGGCCAGCCTGGATAACATGGCGAGACCCCATCTCTACAAAAAACACAAAAATTAGCCGGGTGTGGTGGCACACATCTGTAGTCTCAGCTATGTGGGAGACTGAGGTGGGAGGATCACTTGAGCCCAGGAGGCGGAGGTTGCAGTGAGCTGAGATTATACCACTACTCCAGCCTGGGCGACAGAGTGAGACCCTGTCTCAAAAAACAAAAACAAAAACTCATTCATAATCCTCTAAGAATCTGTCATTATCATTTACTTGATAAAGGAGGAATGAATATCAAAGTGACCATCCAAGGATCTCAAATGATCTGATGCCTGGCTAAAATCCCTATTTTTAAACAAAAACCTTTTACTCCAGAATAATACTGCCTTAAGTCATCTTTATTTTCAAATACAGTTGACCTTTGAACAACACAGGTTTGAAACGCATGAGTCCACTTTATACATGGACTTTTTTTTTTTTTTTTTTTTTGAGACAGAGTCTGGCTCTGTCGCCCGGGCTGGAGTGCAGTGGCCGGATCTCAGCTCACTGCAAGCTCCGCCCCCCGGGTTTACTCCATTCTCCTGCCTCAGCCTCCCGAGTAGCTGGGACTACAGGCGCCCGCCGCCTCGCCCGGCTAGTTTTTTGTATTTTTTAGTAGAGACGGGGTTTCACCATGTTCGCCAGGATGGTCTCGATCTCCTGACCTCGTGATCCGCCCGTCTCGGCCTCCCAAAGTGCTGGGATTACAGGCTTGAGCCACCGCGCCCAGCCATACATGGACTTTTTTTTCAACCAGACACAGATCAGAAATATAACATTCGCAGGAAGCAAAGCCTGCATACAAGGAGGACAGACTTTTCAGATACATGGATTCCACAGGGCTGAATACATGTGCATTTGGGTATGCGGGCAGTTCTGTAACCAATGCCCCATGCATAACAAAGGATGACTGTATTTCCAGTTCACTAAAACAGTAATGAGGGTAAAATAAATTAAACTAAATGTGTAACTTAGAATCAAATTATAAATTTACAGTGATTATAGGCTAAGTGCTCACCTGGGATAATAGGGAAAACAGAGCTGGAAAGTGCCACTGAACCCTTTCCCAGAGATCTGTTCCATCCACCCATTCTTTTCGCATTTCTGCAGGGTTTTTTTCAGCAAATGCACTAAACAAAAAAATTCAGAAATGAAAGTTATCTAGTTATTCAGATAATTTCCTCAACCCCTCAACCACAAACAGATGCCCATCAATTTAATATCCTGTCACATATAGTAATTGACATACACTAAGCGAATCCCATGTGTTCAAAGGTATTTAATTCATTAAACATTTATTTAATGCCTATAAGTTTGGCAAGAGTTAAATTACATACATACATATATATATTTAAAAATTTTGCAAAATATAGAGACAAAGTCTCACTACGTTGCCCAGGCTGGTCTCAAACTCCTGGGCTCAAGCAATACTCCCACCTTGGCCTCCCAAACAGCTGGGACTCCAGGTATGAGCCACCATATCTGGCAAGAGTTATAATGAAAAGAGACATTAGAGACCATTGAGTCAAATACCTTATTTCATAGAAAAGAAAAAACTCCAGAGTGGTTAAGTGACTTGAGCTCAAAGTAGTTAAGTGACTTGCTCTAAGGTAGCACATAAACAGCTGACCTAAAATTAAATATTTAATTATTTCCATTCATTTAAACATCTACCTATGGGTATTGATAATCATCTAGGAGAATATCTTATAAAGAGGAACAGAACGAATTATTCATAAGTCAGTAAACAGTAACAAAACAGTATCATGGTTCCTGAAGTCCTTCATTCTCATCTTCCTTACAGAGACATATCCAAAATATATTTTATGGTGATTCAGTATCCAAAAAACAGCTGCAAATATCAATGAAACTGAAAGGCTTGTTAACCAAATTCATCTTCTCTTAAAACATTTGGCAAACAGAAAATCATGAAATAGGCCGGGCGTGGTGGCTCATGCCTGTAATCCTAGCACTTTGGGAGGCCGAGGTGGGCAGATCATGAGGTGAGGAGATCGAGATCATCCTGGCTAACACGGTGAAACCCTGTCTCTACCAAAAAAAACAGAAACAAAACAAAAACAAACCAACAAAAATTAGCTGGGTGTGTTAAAGATGCCTGTAGTCACAGCTTCTCAGGAGGTGGAGGCAGGAGAATGGCGTGAACCCAGGAGAGGCGAAATATGCAGTGAGCAGAGATCGCACCACTACGCTCCCCAGCCTGGGCAACAGAGTGAGACTCCGTCTAAATAAAAAAAACGACTTCAAAATTACCTTTTAATTTGCAATAATATATTCTGGATTGTCTTCTTCTGTTACTTAATTTCCATATCCCTCACCCTACAACATTGTGTCTCTTCTAATAGTTCACTGAGAAGTCACCCAGTCTCACCAATCCATACATGATAATGCTGATAAGGCAGGGTGTCTCATCTCAAATCACCACCTCCTAGAGTAAATATACTTTACTGAAATAAAGTATTTTCTGTTGTGGGGCTTAGGTTAATAAGAAATAATGTAAGTAGTAAGTATTCTAAAATCCTGGCTTTGTTTCAAAGTAAAATTAGATGTTTTTGGTGAACATCCAGAAGTAGGAAAAAATATACTATAATTTAGAGTTGTTTTGAACCCAGAGATTTATCTGAATTACAATAAAAATCAGAAAAATAAAATCAATTAAAATAATAAAATTTACAGTAAAGTAAAATCGACTTCTTACAAGGATATGCTTTAAATTAAGAATTCAGTTTTGATTATTTGTTTTTCTTTTTGTAAATATTAAATTTGTAAGGCTGTTCCCTCTTGGTTTTCACAGCCAGTAGTTAATACTTTGACATTAATAGCATGATCTCTGTGTTTTTTTCTTCCTTTTTTTTTTTTTTGTTTTGAGACACAGTCTTGCAACTGTCGCCCGGACTGGAATGCAATGGTGTGATCTCAGCTCACTGCAACCTCTGCTTCCTGGGTTCATGCGTTTCTCCTGCCTCAGCCTCCCGAGTAGCTGCTGAGACTACAGGCGCACAACCACCACACCCTGCTAATTTTTTTGTATTTTAAGTAGAGATGGAGTTTCACTATGTTGGCCAGACTGGTCTCGAACTCCCTACCTCGTAATCCGCCCACCTCAGCCTCCCAAAGTGCTGGGATTACAGGCATGAGTCACAGCACCTGGACTTCTATAGTTTTTTCAAAAGAAAATTCTCCTAATCCCAGTTAAATATACACAACTGAGTCTTACTTTGATAGTTAGAATTGGTTCCTGGGTGATTCTCTAGGACATACTTTTTCAGAGCAGTGGTAGAGCAGGTCTTCGGCTCATTCATGGCAGCAATGGCAGACAAGATTGCATATTCCATCAGGCTTCCACCAAGCAGGGGTTTCTCCCCTGATTTCTTCAGCTGTTTTCCAAGGAGGAAGAGAAAAGCAATCAGAAACCTCTCCCAAGCAGGTCAGACAAGATCCTCTGCACCAGGTGGGTCGGAGTTCCTGCATTAGCACAGATATGTTTACAATAAATTGTCAGCTTAGGGACTTTCTCTTCCCATTCAACAGGTATTCAATCTAACTGAGAAGTCCAACCCTCCTATGGATATTTTCTTCTTCCATCTACCCTCCATCCACCCTAAAATGATAGCCAACCTAACCCAAAGATACCGACACTGTACCCAATAAGCAGGTTAACCAGTTAGGTCCCTAAAAATTAAGATTCTTTTAGCTGGGTGCTACACCTATAGTCCCAGCACTTTGGGAGGAACAGGCAGGCAGATCACTTAAGGCCAGGAGTTCGAGACCAGCCTGGCCAACATGGCAAAAACCTGTTTTCTTACTAAATACAAAAAAAAAAAAAAAAAGTAATAGCCAGGTTTGGTGACAAGTGCCGTGGTCCGCTACTTGGGAGGCTGAGGCAGAAGAATCACTTGAACCCAAGAGGTGGAGGTTGCAGTGTGCCGAATCATGCTAGGGAACTCCAGCCTCGGCGACAGAGCAAGATTCTGTCTAAAATAAATAATAATAAATAAATAAATAAGTATTATTGTATTTGAGAATATTTCACTTTTCTGAATCTGAAAAATGAGTACATCTGACCCTTGAACACAATTTTATCTGTGCTGGTCCACTTATATGTGGATTTTCTTTCTGCCTCTGCCTGCCACCCAAGACAGCAAGACCAATACTCCTTGTCCTCCTCCGCCTACTCAACTCAAGATGACAGGATAAAGACATTTACGATCATTCACTTCCACTTAATGAAGAAGTTAATATATTATTATTATTTTTTTTTGAGATGGAGTCTTTGCTCTGTATCCAGGTGGATCTGCAATGGCGTGGTCTCGGCTCACTGCAACCTCTGTCTCCCGGGTTCAAGCAATTCTCCTGCCTCAACTTCCCAAGTAGCTGGGATTACAGGCGTCCACCACCAGGCCCGGCTCATTTTTCTATTTTTAGTAGAGACATGGTTTCAGCATGTTGGCCAGGCTGGTCTTGAACTCCAGACCTTAGGAGATCCGCCTGCCTCGGCCTCCCGAAGTGCTGGGATTACAGGTGTGAGCCACCGTGGCCGGCCATATTTCCTCTTTCTTATGATTTTCTCAATAATATTTTCTTTTCTCTAGCTTTATTGTAAGAGTACATTATATCATACATACAACACACAAAATGTGTATTAACTGTAAGGCTTCCGGTCAACAGTAGGCTATTAAGAGTCAAGTTTGCTGGGAATCTAAAGTTATGTATGAAATTTTTTTAATGCATGGGGGATCTGCACCTTTAATCCCTATGTTGTTCAAGTGTCAGCTGTAGTTATAAAAAATAATAAATAGCCCTTTTAATCCTATGAGGACAATAGCAATGAAAAATTTTGATAAATATTTAGGGTATCAGGGAGCACAGTAATCCCAGTACTTTGGGAGGCTAATGGGGGAGGACTGCTTGAGGCCAAGAGTTCAAGACCAAACTGGGCAACATGGCGAGACCCTCTGTCTACTAAAAATTAAAAAACTAGTTATGAATGGTGGCGTGCCTGTAGTCCTACCTACATGAAAGGCTGAGGCGGGAGGATGGCTTAAGCCCAGGAAGCTGAGGCTACAGTGAGCTATGATTACATCACTATACTCCAGTTTGAGTGACAGACCAAGACTCTGTCTCTAAAAACAAATAAATAAATAAACTAAAAAAAAAAAGAAAATTACATAGCATACTTTGAAAATGAAAGGTGTGGGAACAAAGGTTAGCAATAATACGCAAAAAGGGAAAAGGAGAAAACCAGAAATGCTATACAAAACTGGTTAGTGGTTCTTAAAGAATGGTCTGGTTACAACCGTCTGGGTTCCTGAGACCCTTTCAGAGGATCTGCAAGATCAAAACTATTTGTATAATAAAACTAAGATAGGCCAGACGTGGTGGCTCATGCCTGTAATCCCAGCACTTTGGGAGGCTGAGATGGGTGGATCACCTGAGGTCAGGAGCTCAAGACCAGCCTGGCCAACATGGTGAAACCCTGTCTCTACCAAAAATACAAAAATTAGCCGGGTGTGGTGGTACATGCCTGTAATCCCAGTTACTTGGGAGGCTGCAGCAGGAGAATTGCTTGAATCTGGGAGGTGGAGGTTGCAGTGAGCCGAGATCAAGCCACTGTACTCATTGCAGCAAGACTCCATCTCAAAAAACAAACAAAAACTTAAAATGTGATTTGCTTTTTCACTGTCTTTTTTTTTTTTTTGAGGCAGAGTTTCACTCTGTTGTGCAATGGCGTGGTCTGGGCTCACTGCAACCTCTGCCTCTCGAATTCAAGAGCTTCTCCTGCATCTTTCTCCAGAGTAGCTGGGACTACAGGCACCCGCCACCACACCTGGCTAATTTTTGTATTCTTAGTAGAGATGGGGTTTCACCATGTTGGCCAGGCTGGCCTCAAACTCCTGACCAAGTAAACTGCCCACCTGGGCATCCCAAAGTGCTAGGATTACAGGTGTGAGTCACTACACCTGGCCTTTTCACTATTTTGACATTTGCACTGATGGTGCAGAAGCAATGGTGAGTAAAACTGCTGTCAGCTTACCACAGATAAAGGCAGAGGCACAAAAATGTGGTTATTGTCTTCTTTACTGCTATGTACTTATGGTTTTAAAAAAGAGCACCAATTCACTTAGAATGCCCTTGATAAAGTTCTAAAAATTATCTCAACTTCTGAATATGTGTCTTTAGAATATTTTATGTGATGAAACAGGAAGAACACATAATCCATATCTGCTACATATGCAGACATGATGGTATCCAGGAAAAGCACTTGTGTAATTGTTAGAGTTATGAGCTGGATTAGCTGCACTTTTCTTCGAACACTTTTTTTTTTTTGAGACGGAGTCTCATTCTGTCACCCAGGCTGGAGGGAGTACAGTGGTGTGATCTCGGCTCACTGCAACCTCCGCCTCCCGGGTTCAAGCGATTCTCCTGCCTCAGCCTCCCAAGTAGCTGGGATTGCAGGTGTGTGCCACCATGCCCAGCTAATTTTTTGTATTTTTACTAGAGACTGGGTTTCACCATGTTAGCCAGGATGGTCTCGATCTCCTGACCTCGTGATTCGCCGGCCTCAGTCTCCCAAAGTGCTGGGATTACAGGTGTGAGCCACCACGCCCGGCCTGGAGTACTTTTTTTACTTGAAGAAATAACTGACAGCTAACCTACTGGTTATGAGGTAGACAGTATCTTGAAAATGAACTAAGAGCCGGCCATGTCAAAAAACAATAGTATTTGTTGCCAATGATAAAATTCAAACTTTCAAGAGAAAATTTAAATTCTGAAAAACTTGTATCTATCACTGTGAGTTTGTTATTTTCCCAATACTTAAATACTGTTCTTATAAGATCAGTGTTATCGTATATAATGAAATGCCAACATTTGGAAAATCTACATAACTGCGAGCCACTGTTTTTCAAATGACCAATGTATTGTGCTACAAAATTATGTTGGATTAAAATATCTATTCAAAGTTCAATAAATTCTAAGGTAACATAGTCCAAGAAATTCACTGATTATGGTTTCAGGTTCCACATGGCAACTAAACTTTAAAGAATTTACACAAAACAAATAATGTTAACAGACCATATGAACAAAGGACACAAACCACACAATCATCTCAACAGACACTGAAAAAGCACTTGACAAATCCAACAGCCATTCATGATAAAAAAAAAACTCCCAGGAAACTAGTAGCATAGAAGGGAACTTGCTCAACTGACAATAGGCATCGATGAAAAACCTACAGCTAACTTGTGAAAGACTGAATGTTTTCTCTCCAGGATGTGGAACAAGGCAAAGATGTCTGCTGTTACTACTTCTATTCAACACTGTAATGGAGGTTAATCTAGAGCAATCAGGCAATCAGAAGAAGTAAAAGACATCCAGACTGGAAAGGAAGAAGTAAAATGCTCTTTATTTGCAGATAACGGATCCTGTATATAGAAAACTGTATGGAATTCACAAAGAAACCACTACAACTAGTGAGTTTAGCAAGGGTGAAGGACACAAGAGCAATGGACAAATCAATTGTATTTCTACAGGTTAGCATTAACAACCTGAAAACGAAAATTAGAAAACACTTCCACCATCCATGACAGCATGGAAAAAGAATAAAATACTTGGCAATAAATTTAACAAAAAAAAATTCAAGACTCGTACACCGAAAACTACAAAAGACTACTGAGAGAAATTAAATAAAGAGACCTTCTGTGCCATGGATTGGAAAACTCAACATTGTAAAGATAGTGAATCTCCCCAAATTGATCTATAGGTTCAATGCAATTCCTACTAAAACTCCAGCTGTTTGTTTTTTGGCAGAAATGGACAATTTGTATGGAACTGTACAGGACCCAGCATAGTCAAAACATTCCTGAAAAAGTTAGAGGGCTTATAATTCCAAATTTCAAAATTCACTATAAAGCTACAGCCAATAAGACAGTGGAGTACTGGCATGAAGGATACACATATAGAACAACAAAAGAGAACTCAGAATCCAGAAATAAACCCTTGTATTTATGGTCAATTGATTTTCATAAGATGCCAAGGAAATTCAATAGGGAAGGGACAGTCTTTTCAAATAAAAGGTGCTGGGATGATCAGATACCCACATGCAAAAAGATAAATTATACCCTTACCTCACACTATAAACAAAACAATATAGATCACAGACCTAAATTTAAAAGCCAAAACTATAAAACTCCAAAACATAGGAGTAAATTTTCATTACCTTTACTTAGGCAATGTTTCTTAGATAACCATAAAACTGCAAAAGCAATTTTTAAAAATGATAAATAGGACTTCATCAAAAATTAAACACTTCAAAAGATGCTATTGAGAAAGTCACAGGAGAAAAAACTTGATGGGACTTTATATCTAGAGTAATGAATTCTTATAGCGAATAATTCCATTTTAAAAATGGGCAAAAGATCTGAATACACATTTCACTACAGAAAATAAACCAATGGCCTTAAGCACAAGAGATGCTCAACATCAGTAACTATTAGGGAAATGCCAATCAAAACTACAATGAGATACCCTATATCCACTAGCATGGCTATAATAAAAAGAGTAACAAATGTTGAAGAGGATATGGAGAAAATTGAGCCCTGGTCAGGTGGGTCACACCTGTAATTCCAACACCTCGGGAAGCTGAGGCAGGCAGACTACTTCACTGAACCCAGAAGTTCAAGAGCAGCCTGGGCAACATGGCGAAACCCCATTCTATAAAAAACAGAAAATTAATCAGGCATGGTGGTGCGCTCTATAATCCCAGATACTAGGGAGGCTAAGATGGGAGGATCAATTAGCCAGGGAGGTGGAGGTTGCAGTGAGCTGAGATCACACCACTTCACTCTAGCGCTGGGTGACAGAGTGAGACCCTATCTCAAAACAAAACAAACAAAGATAAAATGACTTGAGCCCTATAAACACTGCCAGTTTCTTAGAACATAAATTTACCATATGGCCCCAGCAAGTCCTAAAAACATATCCACACAAAGACTTGAACATAAATGTTCATAGGCAGTATTATTCATAATTAGTTGAAAAGTAGAAATAATCCAAATGTCCATCATCATCTCATGAATGAATAAACAAAATGTGACATCCATAGAATGAAATACTATTGGACAATAAAAAAGAATGAAAGTACTGGTACATGCTGCAATGTGGATAAAACTCAAAAACATCAAGGTAAAAGAAGCCAGACACAGAAGATCACATAGTACATGATTCTATCCACATGAAACATGAAGAAAATGCACATCTGCAGACAGAGAACAGACTAGAGGTTGCCTGCGGTTGCTTTTGGAATAGGGAGTGACTGCAAATGGTTACAAGGGATCTTATTTGGGTGACAGAAATGTCCGAAAATTGGACTGTAACTGTTGTACAACTCTATAAAGTTACTAAAAATCACTGGGTTATAACTTGTAATTATATAAATTACATTGTATATGGTATGTAAATCGACCTCAATAAAGCTGCTAAAAAATAACAATTTGTTGAGTTTTGGTGTAGTATAAAATGATAATTTCTACAACTATCTGAAAGTTATCTTAAAATATTCCATCATTTTCTAACTGTATTTCTGTGTGAGGTTAGATTTTCTTCAAATAAGTAACCCGAAATAAACTGGAACAGATACTAGCTGTCTTCTGTTATGCTAGACGTTAAAGACATTTGCAAAAATGTAAACAGTGCCTGACGACTTCTCATTAAAAAGAAAAAATTGGGGGAGACAGATTATAGGCTCACACCTACAATCTCAGCACTTTGGAAGGCTGACGCTGGAGGATCGCTTGAACCTGGGAGATAGAGGCTACAGTGAGCTGTGATTGTGCCACTGCACTCCAGCCTGGGAAACAGAGCGAAACGCTGTCTCAAAAAAAGGGCTGGGAGGTGAAGGGGGAGGACAGTTATTTTTCACTAAAAAATATGTAATTTATGTTAACATGTAATGGGTTTTCTACTATTATTTTAAAGTAAATCAACAAATATTTAAATTTTTCCTCAGTTAATTTTCTTTTTTTTTTTTTTGAGATGGAATCTCACTCTGTCACCTAGGCTAGAGCACAGTGGTGCAATCTCGGCTCAATGCAACCTCCACCTCCCACATTCAAGTGATTCTCCTGCCTCAGCCTCCCAAGTAGCTGGGACTACAGGCACGTGCCACCACGCCCAGCTCATTTTTATATTTTTAGTAGAGACAACGGGGTTTCACCAGGCTGGTCTCGAACTCCCAACCGCAGGTGATCCACCCGCCTCAGCCTCCCAAAGTGCTGGGATTACAGGTGTGAGCCACCACACCCAGACCTCAGTGTTAGTTTCTAACATAGTAAATGTTGACAGATACAACCCACATAAACAAAAATTATTTGAGGTTCCTCAATAAATTTTTACAGTATAAGGAAGGAGGTCCTGAAACCAAAAACTTTAAAAAGCACTTCTCCACAACCAGGCCTCTGATTTCTAACCTGGAATGTCCCTGAAGCACCTTTGCCAGTTATCTGTTCTAACTGGCCTCTCTCTACTGCTCTCTGCAGAGCGTTCTTCAACAGCTGAGGCCTGCAAAGAAAAACAAACAAACAAAAAAACAGTGATAAATACATTAATGAAAAAAAAATGTAAAGAAATAGATACAGGGTTATTCCCAGATCTAGAGTTCTGATTACTATTATTATCATCATTATTTTTTTTGAGATGGAGCTTTACTCTTGTTGCCCAGGCTGGAGTGCAATGGCACAATCTTGGCTCACTGCAACCTCCACTTCCCGGGTTCAGCAATTCTCCTGCCTCAGCCTCTCGAGTAGCTAGGGGATAACAGGCATGCGCCACTACGCCCAGCTAATTTTGTATTTTTAGTAGAGACGGGGTTTATCCATGTTGGTCAGGCTGGTCTCGAACTCTTGACCTCAGGTGATCTGCCCACTTTGGTCTCCGAAAGTGCTGGGATTACAGGCGGGAGCCACCATGCCCAGCCTCTGATTACTATTATATGTATTAGCTTTGTTAAAATGAAAAAAAGTAGTAACAAATTGCTGGCATCCTTAAAAAGAGGTACTCTTTTCTTTCAAGTAAAGAAGCTAAGTCATTATTTATACATACAGAATCTCATATCATATAGAACCAATTTCTAAATTGCCAAGACACTCCAAAAACCCACCCACCACTGGTTGCCATTGGACCACAACCATGATCAAACTGAGTAATCAAGCAAAGGATGGATATCTTAAAAGTCTCATTCAACTCTGGAATTCTCTGAGGCCAACTGTGAACACCGGCCTGTCAGAAATGCATACATGAAATTAAGAAAATCAAGAGAACTCTTGAAATAACTAAGAGTTGAAAATTAAGAATCTAAGAGGTCTCCAAATAAATTAGTATGTTTAGAGAAAAGTATAGGGTATAATACTGCATCTTGGGCTGTGCTCACTTTTTGATGTAAATAGAGAAAAGCCAAAAACAGAGTATGAGTTACATCTTGCATGAGGATTTTTTTTTTGGATACAGGGTCTCGCTCTGTTGCCCAGGATGTAGTGCAGTGGCAAACCATGGCGAGCTGCAGCCTCGATCTCCTAGGCTCACACAATCCACCTGTCTTGGGCTCCCAAGTAGCTGGGACTAGCTGGGTGTATAAGTGTGTGCCACTATGCTTGGCTAAATTGTTTTGTTGTTGTTGTTGTTGCTGTTTTGGTAGAGGTGGAGTCTCACTATGTTTCCCAGGCTGGTCTTCAACTCCTGGCCTCGAGCAATCCTCTCACTAAGGCCTCCCAAAATGCTGGGATTACAGGCATGAGGCACCACGCCTGGCTGAAGATTAGATTTTAACATTTGACTTCTAATGCCATATGACAGACCTAGAAAATTTCGAAAGACACCTTCTTCAAGGCCAACTCAGAGTCTCTATGTACCCAATATGTCCAGTTCTTCTTCTAAGTTGCAAAAAAATCACTATTACCAAATTAAGAAGGCAACTTGCATGTTATATAAAAAACCAATGTCTTGGCAGGGCACGGTGGCTCATGCTTGTAATCCCAACACTCTGGGAGGCCAAGGCTGGCGGATCACGACGTCAGGAGTTTGAGACCAGCCTGGCCAACACAGCGAAACCGTGGCTCCACCAAAAATACAAAAAAATTAGCCGGGTGTGGTGTCAGGCAACTGTAGTCCCAGCTACTCAGGAGGCTGAAGCAGGAGAATCATTTGAACCCAGGAGGCGGAGGTTGCGGTGAGTTGAGACTGCGCCATTGCAATCCAGCCTGGACAGCGGAGCAAGACTCTGTCTCAAAAAAAAAAAAATAAAAAACAAAACAAAACAAAAAACATGATGTCTTTAAATATTAGAATCCTGTTTAGCATGGTGTGATGGTCATACTATGAGAAGTTGGTACTGAGACTAATAAGAATAATATTAGTTGAACATTTACTAGGTGCCAAGGACTATTCTAAGTGCTTAGCACAGACTAAGAAACTCAAACCCTATGAGTTAAACATTTTTGTTTTTTCTTTTTTTTTGGAGGATGGAGTCTTGCTCATCACCCAGGCTGGAGTGTAGTGGCGCGATCTTGGCTCACTTCAACCTCGCCCCCCAGGTTGAAGTGATTCTCCTGCCTCAGCCTCCCGAGTAGCTGGGACTACCGTCCTGCCCCACGCCCAGCTAATTTTTTGTATTTTTAATAGAGACGGGGTTTCACCATGTTAGCCAGGATTGTCTCAATCTCCTGACCTCATGATCTGCCCCGCCTCGGCCTCCCAAAGTGCTGGGATTACAGGCGTGAGCCACTACACTCGGCCCATTTTTTCTTTTTTGAGAGATGATCTCACTGTGTCACTCAGGCTGGAGCGCCAGTGGTATGATCACGGCTCACTGCAGCCTCGACTCCCAGGCTCAAGCAACCCTTCTGCACCTCAGCCTCCCAAGTAGTTGGTACTATAGGCACATGCCACTACATCAGCTAATTTTTGTTATTTTTTTTTTGTACAGAGGGGTTCCACTATGTTGCCCAGCCTGGTCTTGAATTTGTAGGTTCAAGCGATCCTCCTGCTTCGGCCTCCCAAAAGTGCAGGGATTACATGTGTGTGAACTGCAGCACCTGACCGGCAGAGGTTTTGGTTGGTCATTATCGACCAAATACAATGTGGGGCCATGTTAGGAAAAACAACTAAAATATCATTCTGGAGACAACTAGGGACACCTGAACATGGACTGGTACTAGATAATAATAAATTATTAATTTTGTTAAGAATGATTTAAGTGGCCAGGTGAGGTGGATCACCTGGACTCCCAGCACTTTGGGAGGCTGAGGCAGGCAGATCACCTGAGGTCGGGAGTTTGACACCAGGCTGAGACCAACATGGAGAAACCCCATCTGTACTAAAAATACAAAATTAGCTGGGTGTGGTGGGCACGCCTATAATCCCAGCTACTTGGGAGGCGTATGAGGCAGGAGAATCACTTGAACTCGGGAGGTAGAGGTTGCGGTGAGCCAAGATCATGCCACTCACTGCACTCCAGCCTGGGAAACAAGAGCAAAACTCCATCTCAACAACAACAAAAAAGAACGATTTAAGTATGATGGTTAATGTTCTCTATGTTTCTTTGTACATGTTTGAAAATTTCCAAGATAAAACATTTAAGAAAGTATTAAGGGCTCCTTCTGTCATATGAAGATACAATGAGAAGATACAATCTGCGACCCAGAAGAGGCCCTCACAGAACCCAGCCATGCTGGCACCCTGATCTCAGACTTTGAGTCTGCCCAACTGTGAGAAATACATTTCTCTTGTTTATATGCCAAAGTAACAACAATAATAAAAATAGTCAAGGCAGATCTTTGGTGATGATATTAGACTGAAAACTTAAGGAAGTAAAGGAACTGGCAAAGTGGCTTATGGGGAAAAAGCCATTCAGGTAAAGGGAATGCAACAGAAAGGCTGTGAGACCAGCGAGGGAGTGAAGAGTAGTAGTTTAGGTCAGAGATACAAGCGAATGTAGTGCCTTGTATTTAAAGGCACTTTTAAAGATTGATTTTTTTGTTTGTTTGTGTTTGTTTCCCCGCTGAGACGGAGTCTTGCTCTGTCGCCCAGGCTGGAGTGCAGTGGCGCAATCTTGGCTCACTGCAACCCTGCAACCTCTGCCTCCTGGGTTCAAGCAATTCTCCTGCCTCAGCCTCCTGAGTAGCTGGGATTACAGGCATGTGCCACCACGCCCGGCTAATTTTTGTATGCTTAGTAGAGATGAGGTTTCACCATGTTGGCCAGGATGGTCTCGAACTCCTGACCTCGTGATCCACCCACCTCAGACTCCCAAAGTGCTGGGATTACAGGTGTGGGCCACCACACCCAACCCTAAAGACTGATTTTTTACCTGTGAGGGGGTTGGGAAGACATGAATGTTTGAGTAGAAAGGCAACATGACACTGGGCACAGTGGTTCACACCTGTAATCCCAACACCTGGGTGGCCAAAGCAGGAGGATCACTTGAGGCCAGGAGTTAAAGACCAGTCTGGGCAATGTAGGGAGACTGTCTCCAAAAAAAACTTAAAAACTATTAGCTGCATGTGGTGACACATTCCTGCAGTCCCAGCTACTTGGGAGGCTGCAGTGGGAGGATTGTTTGAGCCTAGGAGTTTGAGGTTGCCACGAGTCACGATCTTGCCACTATACTCCAGTCTGGGCAACAGAGCAAGACCCCAGCTTGAAAAAAAACCAAAAAAAAGTGACAGGCTGGGCGCAGTGGCTCACGTCTGTAATCCTTTGGGAGGCCAAGGCGGGCAGATCACTGGAGGCCAGAAATTTGAGACCAGCCTGGCCAACATGGTGAAACTCCCAATCTACTAAAAATACAGAAATTACCCGGGTATGGTGGCACAGCCTGTAATCCCAGCTACTCGGAAGGCTGAGACAGGAGAGTCACTTGAACCCAGTGGGTGGAGGTTGCAGTGAGCCGAGATCACACCACTGCATTCCAGCCAGGGAAACAGAACAAGATTCCTTCTCAAACAAATAAATAAATAAATAAATAAACTTTAAAAAGTGACAGAACTTACATTTTTCAAAAAGTCTCACTCTCACTATGATGGTAAGAACATACTGAAAGGGAGCATGAAGAAAGCAGTTAGGAAGTTATTGCTCTAATACAGGTGAGAGATGATGGTGGCCTGGAAGAGAATGGTAGTGGTGCAGGTGATGAGTAAGTAGTATGTTTACTATTTTATTTTTTTATTTTATATTTTAATTTTGAGATGGAGCCTCACTGTCGCCCAGGCTGGAATGCAGTGGCGTGATCTTGGCTCACTGCAGACTCTGCCTCTCAGGTTTAAGTGATTCTCTTGCCTTGGCCTCCTGAGCAGCTGGAACTACAGGCGCGTGCCACCATGCCTGGCTAATTTTTTTGTATTTTTAGTAGAGAGAGGGTTTCACCATGTTGGCCTGGTTGGTCTCGAACTCCTGACCTCATGTGATCCACCTGCCTCCCAAAGGGCTGGGATTACAGGCATGAGCCACAGCACCCAGCCTGTTTACTGATATATTTTAAAGACGGAGCAAAATAATTGCTTATAGATTAGAGAAAGGTGTGTAACAAAGAGAAGAGACCAGCACAAAGCCAGGGTTTTTGGTTTCAGCAAGTGGAAAGATAATACTGTCATGAACTAAAATGAAGATAACGTGGGAAATGCAGGGATTTTGGGGGGGAGCGGGAGCAGAGTGGGGATCAAGAGTTCAGTTTTCAACATTTAAATCAGACATCCCAGTGGTGATGTTGAACAGGCATCCATATACACGAATCTGAAGTTACAAGGGAGGTATGGGCTAGATTCATAAATTTGTGAATTAATAGTTTATAGCTGGTATTTAAAGCTTTGCAAGTGAAAGGAATCACCAAGCAAATGTGGACATAAAAGATGAGAGGCTTAAGGTATAACCCTGAGGGCACCTATATATTAAGAGGTAAAGCAGAAATCCTTAGAAGATTGAGAAAGGAGGGGTACAAAGGTGTGGTGTCCTGGAAGGCAAGTAAAGAAAATGTTTCAAGCAGGTAGAAGTCATCAACTGTGTCAAATGCCATTGAGAGGGCAGTTGGTAAGGACTATGAATTGACCACTGAAATCTGTAAAGTGAGACTGAGAAAATATTCAGGTAAAGTGGTGGGGTAAAGTCTGACTAAAGTGGGGAAAGTGGAAGGGAAGACATTATAGATACCAAGTACAGAAAACTTACATTTTGGTGAAACTGTATTTTTCTTCCTCTTTTGTTTGGCCAAGCAAGAATGGCTGAATTTTCAAGTTAAATGTGTATATGACAGGACTCCATTATAATCAAGAATTAGAGAAAATCAATATAGCTTCACGTAAAAGAAAAAAGTTTCAATGGAAAAAATTACCATTAAAAAGGCCATGAGAAAAGGTCTTCAGGCTCCTTAGCACCTTTGGGTTGACAACCCATCTATTATCAGGTAAATTTTGTTTCAGCATAAAGTCATGACAATATGTTTCAAAAGAAGTGGAGCAAAGGCACACTGGTAGCAACACACCACCTTACGTAAGTAGAGTAGAACCACAAGAAAAAAAAATAGGGGAGGATATGGTCTCCACTCACCAAAAGGCAGAGAATAAAGGGTGTGAAAGGAAAATAAGGCTTGGGATCCCCAAATCAGGAACCAAAGGGAAAAGTCAAGCTGGGAATTGCTTAGGGCAAATTTGCCTCCCATTCTATTCCTAAAAAAAAAAAGATAGCCACTAAGATAAAAAAGCTACATACCTCCCTCACGATTTGTCCACAAAGGAAAATCCTTGCAGACAAAGGACAGAACTCCAAGTCATTCATCTACTCACCTAGATAAATGCATATCTGTCTCCTTTGAAAAGGTAATCAGAAACTCAAAAAGAATGAAACTGTCTTTTATTTACCTATAACCTGGAAGCCCCCTCCCTGATTTGAGTTGTCCCACCTTTCCAGAATAAACCAATGTACACCTTACATTATTACTGTCTCACATCTCCCTAAGTGTAAAACCAAGCTGTGCCCAGACCACCTTGGGCACAAGTTTTCAGGAACTCCTGAGGCTGTGTCACGGGCACAACCTTAACCTTGGCAAAATAAACTTTCTAAATTGACTGAGACCTCTCTCAGATAATTTGGGGTCACACAAGGGAGATAAAAGTGAAATGTGAGACCCAGTGTTGCAGGTGGGGCCTGGTGGGAGGTGTTTGAGTTACAGGGATGGATCCCTCATGAATGGCTTCGTGTCTTCCTGGTGGTAATGAGCGGGTTGTTTAAAACAACTGGTTGTTTTAAGAGTGTGAGATCTGGTTAAGAGTGTGGCACCTTTCCCTCCTCTCTTGCTCCCTTTCTTGCCATGTGATATGATGGCTCCTCCTTCCACCATGATTATAAGTTTCCTGAAGCCCTCACTAGAAGCAGATGGCTGTACTATGCTTCTTGTACAGCCTGCAGTTACTATGAGCCAAATAAACTTTATTCTTTATTAAAGAACAGTGAAATGTTTCCATCTTTAAATGCATCATACAATGCATTTTTGATCCATAATTGTGTCTGCCTACTACCACTACACTCAGCATGTAAGAAGCATGAAAATATCAGCACATTAATTCATTAATTTAGAACTTTCTGCTTCAATGATTCCCTTTTCGTTTGCACTATTTCACTAGCTCTTTAATTTGGCACTCTGATGACCACTACTGATTTTCTGAAAATGTGGCTTCTGGACTGAAACCTCAGCAATTCTAAATGTATGCCTTAGTAATGCAAGTAAATACTGGTACTAAACTGTATCAGGACATTGTGCACTCAATATAGTAGTCTTCTGTAGACAGAAATCTGGATTAAACATAATTTTCTAGAAGTCATCTCACACAAAAACTCTCAGAGTCTGCAAATTACAAATTTAAACAAATTGATATATCTGCATGAATCTACAACTGAGCAAATGGGACAATCTAAATGATCTGTCAAGACGTTAAGTGGCAAATTTTACATATGAATTACTAACAAAATTATCTCAGAATTTTAAGCTGCATGTTTAAATGATGAAAACATTCTGCTATTGCTGTGTAAAGGTGTTACTGAAGCCTGAATTCTCATGAAATATATATATGATATATACGTATATATGTATATAGCATACATATATAATGTTTTCTGAGACAGAGTCTCACTCTGTCACCCAGGCTAGAGTGCTAGGATTTTAAGCGTGAGCCACCGTGCCCAGCCTAAAAGTACATTTTAACCCAATACCAGACTCAAAAACTATACCTAGATGCAATTTTTCTTCCTGTTTTTGTAAATACTAACATTCTTCTCCCCAACACATACGATTTCATTTGTGTAAAATATTTCTACAATAAAATGAAATGTCTTGTACTCATTTATATCAGAAATTGAAATAGTATTTTCTACACTTTTTTTTTCTTACAACTCTGAAGCTTTTTATCCTTTTTTCATAGACTTTTCAAACACTTTCAAAATGAACTTTATGCATTTCTTTCTGGTGCTGTACTTCATTCTTTAGTTATTAAAGGCTAAGAATAAACTAGGACATTTAAATATTACACTCTTTTTACGCATTTATGGGTTTTATTTTTTTTTTTTTTTTTTTTGAGACGAAGTTTCGCCTCTTGGGCCCCAGGCTGGGAGTACAACGGTGCTCACTGCAAACTCCACCTCCTGGGTTCAAGCAATTCTCCTGCCTCAGCCCTCCTG